ACTGGTAGTGCCTTGTGAACACAGTGAATCAGTTCATCTAAAGTAAGTTACTCTGACTTCTATGGTGATCTTAAGCTACTCAGTCTAAATATAGGTAATGAAAAGGTGCAGCATCTGGATCAGTATCCAATTTGTAGAATCTTGCTTGCACCAATGAGATTTGATTATGTCTGTCTATGGCAGATGAAGCAGGGTGTGAAATGCTAATGGTTCATACCAGTCCACTGAGGCCAAGCCTTGGTAGCTGCTGTGAATGTTGGCTTTCTGCCATCATTATTTTCTTTTAAGTAAATGTCTCTTTAACCAAGGACTGGTTTGGGTTTTCATTTGTTTCTTTCTTTTAGTTGAGGAAGTAATATTAGTTGACAGCTAATGAAATTGCTTTCTCTCCCTTTGGTGCTGAAAGTTCAACCTAACACAAATACCTAAGTAAGTAAAGCCATGCAGATATAGGTCGGGGGGGGTGGGGTGGGTGTCCCTTTCTTTTTTTCTTTTTTTTTTCTTTTCTTTTTTTTTCCTTTTTTAGCTTTTCATTCTTGGGTGAAAGCAAATAAGAGGAAAACAGCAAATGCTTTGTTGTCAGGTTGCATAAAAGAGGGGTAAATGCTAGAGCCGGTGATGGTTTAGAGAAGCTGGAGTAAAAGAACAGAAAGGAAGTGGGGAAAAAAGCGCCACTGAGAGAGAAACAGTAACTCTTTGTTGCGAAAACACTTAGCACTTCTTTGGAAGCAGTCTTCGGTTAATTATACTGCAATTGATTAAAAATTGTTACAAATAAACAAAAACCATGTCTATTTAGGAAATTGTGGTTTGGGTTTAGGTTTTTTTTTATTACTTAGTATTATGAAGCACAGCAGCTGTCTTGCTTCAATTCAGTACATATCAAAAGCTACATTTTTTACTGTTGTTACTGTTTAGCTCCTCCGTTTCGTTGTTTTTATGCACTTAACTGGGAGAAGGTTTCAGAAATATGAGTTGCTCGTTTCCCTTTCTCATAAAAGCTGGAGACATTTATAGGATAAGTTATCCCAAATAAATTTAAGAGCATGAGGTTAGCCCAGCCTGACAAAGTCATTAGTTTTATGTTGCTGGTTAGAGAGAATAGTTAGTTTGAATACTTTACCGTGTTGTGTTGCTGAGGGAGGCTTTGGCAAGTTATGACTCGGGAAGTTTTTATGTTAAGAATATTTGTATCTTTTATTTGTATCTCTGTATAGTAAGTTACCTTTTTCATTCATCAAACAGTTGTTTTGCAGATGTTTAATGCAAATTCCATGAGAAAAGATAGTCTTGTGGCTAAAATATAGGATTTGTGAGAGACTGAAATATTTATGGTTAATGGCTCAAACAGTCCTTCATTTGCAAAAGCAGCAGGTGCTTTGCTGACAATGTGCAAGGGGACAGCCCAGGTGCAGAGGGTGTGAGCACTAGAGGATGACCACAACAACAAATTAATCTTTGTTTAGCAAGAAGCTGGATTTTAAGCTGAATAAGGGAAGAGGCAGATAAGAAGCAGATCCTGCAAGGTGGGATAGTGCTTTTTATCATACCAGTCATGCCTCCCTTACACAACTGGCTGAGGTGTGAAAACTCCCCGCGGGGGAGGTATTGAGACATTGCTAGGTAGGCCTGGAGGTATTCATCCCTTCTGACAGGGAATAACTGGCTTAATACGCTGACATGAGAGGCAGCTGTCATGTTGTAAAAGGTGTCATAAACCATCAAAGACTGAAGTGCCCCCAGACTCATTTTTGGGGCTTTCCACCGGAGGACTGCACATGATCCACAGTGTTACATCAAATAGTGTAAAACTCCTGCAGCAGAGGTACCTGGCCATTGCCACCTATCCTGAGTGTATAATAACCCACTGAACTTTGTTTTGTGGGCTTTCCACCACCTGTGATGGATCAAGACTGCCACCATTATTTTGACCAGTGGACACTGAAATTGCAACAATCAAGTCTCGTCACTCGATATGCTTTTACTCTTATCCTTCTACTCTTCTAACTTCTCAAAACATATTGTAAGCCAGACTAAAAATTTTCAGTGAGTGCCTTAGTAAGTGCCTTGTGATGTTTGAATAAGTGAAAGTTGTCTAAGTTTAAGTTTGTGAAGTTAAAGTTTGTAAAGTGACTTACTTTGTCTAGATGTTGTTTTAAAATTTACCAAGTACCTTATTCTGCCCTAATGTTCTAAAAGTTTACAAGTAGTAGTTTGTTACTGAACCTCCTGAAAATTTTGTTGTTTTTCCCATGTGCTACCCAGATGGAATCAAAGAACCTAAACCCACTGAGAACATTAGGACATAACAGATTTGAAAAGAAAAACCTATACTTAGGGAAAGATTTTTTTTTTTTGTGGGGCACTTCACTACTCTGTGCCCGTTTACTTTGCTTTTAATAAAGATAGTTATGCTGAGAATAAAGTCATTAATATTTGCCTGGTTCCTTGAAATCTTAAAAAGATATGTATTTTTGTATTCTAGCTATTTTGTCCTGTAGAAGTATGTGGTGGGAAGGTACAGTCAGTTAACTTTGATAGGTTCAAATCAGTGCTAATTAACTGTTCATAATCTTGTATGAATCTTTAAACATGGTTCATAGTAGATAGATGGCAGTAAGTTAGAGCAGAGGAGGATCTTCAGTGTTTAACTTTTAGTTTATTCCAAAGCAGTGTTTTCACCAATGCAAGCTCTAAGTCTGCCTGCATACCTAGGGATAGGTATTGCTAGATAAAAGTACTTCAAGTGATCATAGGTACCCATGTGCCTAGTAAAATACATTTTGTATTTCCAGAACAGGGATTCAAGTCAAATGTGCCCTTAGATTTAATTATTTTAACCTTATAGACTTAATTTTTACATTAAAATTTTGTTCAAGTAATTTCCGTTAGTTTCCGTTAATTTCCGTAAAGTCCTAAAGTCCTTGTTCTAAGCTCTTAAGGGCAGCAAAGTAAACAGGCTTAATATCTCTTTATAAAAAAAAACCAAAAATTAAAGATTGATACCAGTAATTAGTAGAGTTTAACTCCTATATAAAGTGCTATAAACTTAACATTACCCAGACCTGCAGTTCTATAGATGCAGTTCTGTACTTTTTGTATTTCATCACAAGAATGTTTTAGAATTTGTCAGTCTCTGGACAATTGGACATTTGGGGAAGTAACTGTTTGTTGGCGTTTTATAGAATTAAAAAAAAAAAAAACACACACACACACAAAAAAAACCAACAAGTAACTAGCAACTAACAGTAAATTGTCTTTTGTTTAAACAACATGTCAGCAATACTTTGTCAGCATCAGTGTTTCCATTCTTTTTTTTCTCCACAGGTATGATAGCTTTAGAAAACCTGTTGACTCATATCCTGTACACTATTACAGAAAGCAAATGCGACACACACAAATACGTATTTCTTGCTTTTCCCTGTCTTGTACCATCTTCTCATTTCCCCTTTTAATATTCCTTATTCTTCCCTTTTGTGATGCATTTCCTCCTTTTGTTTACAAAAAACCTTGAAAATCGGTGGTTAATAGTTAAAGTCTTCAGAGTTGTCAGTGTATAGTTCTATCTTGTGTTTTTCTGTTATCTGTGTAAGAAAGCCGAGGAGAAGAAACAATACTCCTGTCATCCATCCTGTTTTGTTATCTCTTGTTCTTTTTTCTTTTATTTTTTTCTTCCCTCATTGTTTTTGTTGTTGTTTAGCTGCTCCCCAGCTGCAGTTCAGATGTTTCATGCTGAAGCTTTTATATCTAGGACACATTACGGTCTGCTGTCCTTGTTCATCATTTCTGTATGGGTAATGAACAGAATAAGGGTTTAATTCTCTTTAATTGTTGCCACAGTTGTAAGTACATAGTTTCTGAGTCAAAGGTACTCAGTTTTCTACATTTAATAAACTACACTAAACTTCGCGTATGTACACTGTATTGTACAGTACTAGCCTTTGGCAGTAAGTTCATCAGTTTCTATGAGTATACAAAATAAGTAAGTGACCTAAGTAATTGTCCTGATAGGCCAAACACTGCTTCACATAGTCAATCTATATAAAATATAATCTATATAACCATGTAAAGTATAGTGTAAGAACACGTACATAACTTACACTTGTATACTTATGATACTTAAAAGTAAATAAACCTATATGCTTAAGACTTGAGGTACTCTAAAGTAAACAACATGGAACAGTCTGAATAATATATTTCTCCATTGAGTTCAGTGGACTTAAGCAGTTCTCATACTTTCTGCTGGTGCTCTTGAAATGTACCTTTACTGAATTTTTTAATAAAGTTTTTGCGGAGATGTTTCTTTTGCAGTTTGTATAATTAAACTTGTACCTCTCTGCATTACAGTTATCTTTTCTTGGCTTGAATGCTGGTGACAGTCTCTTCCAAGCTGGCCTATTAACACAAATAGGAATTGCAAACACTCTAGCTTATTTTAAGAAACTGAATGGAACACCATGTCAGTTGTATATTCCGTAGGACTTGGTGACCATTTGTAATTTTTCTTAAATGCAATGAGTTCTGTGGTACTGCATTATTTTCCATTAGTAATGACTGCAAGTAAGTACGAGAACATACTGCAAACATTGGTCATTGTTTTGTTTCTTTCTTCTTTCCTTAATTCTGTATCATTTGACAGATCTGATACTAGAATAAAAATATATACAGCAGGTATGAGTGTATGAGGGTGTATATGACTGAAACTACACTTTGCCTCAGAAATCAGTGGCAGCACTTGAGTGGTGAGCTGTAAAGACCACGATAGGTGTGTGTAAGAGGCTACTTACATATAACTGATCAGATGGACGGTTTCCTTCATAACTCATTCTGCTGAGTCTTTTCATCATGATTTTCACTGACAGAGGCATAACACAAATTCATTCAGCAAGCTGCTTTGAGGTTGAAGGAAAGGAACGTATCTGGTTTTGAGGGCTGTATGTGTATGCTGTGTTTAAAAGGCATGCTATTGGTACTGATTTTTTTTATTTTTATTTTTTCAGGACAGGTTAAAGTGTTCAGGGCCCTATATACATTTGAGCCCAGAACGGTAAGTACATCTAAATTTTAGATGTTTGAAAAGCTTAATTTTAATCTTTTCAGTAACATTTCAATTCTGCTAGGATTGGCCTATTAGACTTACTGTACTGTTTTCAATGATAAAGTCTGTTTGATGGGTATTTGTTCTTAATGTGACTAAAACTGTCTGATTAATCATCACTCTCCAGTAAGTCCACTCTGTTTAAAAGCAGCATGCTTTCTTCTGTAGTATCTGTTACCTGCAATCTAAGGTCTGAAATCATAAGTAATTCAGTTTTTCTTCCAAAAAGGGGATGAAATTAACAAACACAAGATACATTTCACTGCTTCTTTTGCACAGTGCTCTGTTTGAAAGAACATAGTCTTTCTGCATTATTAGGAAGATCGCAGATATAAAAGGTCATCTGTAGACTAGTCAAACTAATGACTATCAGGTTATTGACTAGGTGATGGAGAATTTGAGTTATCATTCTTTTTAATGAAAAGGTGAATGTATTCTGACTTATCCAGGTATCTGTTTTTCATTCGTACACATATTCAAATATTTGTTTATTCCTCTTTTTTTTTTCTTTCTGTTTTTAAGCCAGATGAACTGTACTTTGAAGAAGGAGATATCATTTACATCTCAGACATGGTGAGTCTAAGACATCCCATGCAGACTGAATACTTCTGAGATACAACATGTCCCTTTTAAAATATTTTCTCTTTTCTCTGCAGAGTGATACAAATTGGTGGAAAGGAACTTGCAAGGGGAGAACTGGACTAATTCCAAGCAACTATGGTAATGTCTAGAATATTTTTATTTAGTAATGTCATTTACAATCAAAGGAAATTACTGAACAAAAAAGGGTTATTTTCAAAAACAGATCACATTGGTGTTTAACAGTACTCTACCATGTGTTTCAGAATACATCTGTCTGCAATATCAGTCACCATTTTACATCAGCAGTGGACAGGCTGTCTTGTTTTTTTATAACCCAAAGACAGCATAAGTTTGCCGAGTTGTGCAGTTTTGAGGGGAAGAATGTGTGGTTCTAAAGGAACCATTTTTGTTTGCCATTTGTTGTATTTTAGTGAATATATCCAGCCACAGAAAACATTGTTTACTTGGGGATTGCATCATATTAAATATCCCTTACACGTTTGGACTGGATAGAAACTGCTTTTTCAGATTTAACTAAAATGACTTTTAAAATCCATGAGTACAGACAATACAGCATAATTCTTCCAAGTCCTCTCAGGAACTGTAGACAGAGTAACAGTGTCTCATGACAAATTGCATCGTAACTCCAATATGATAGTGACTGTGGTTGCTTCATGTTGTCCTTTCTTCACTAGGAGATTTTATGGTAGCAATGCTATGATTCCCTGCCCTGTAGTTAGTAGGAATACATTAATAGAAATCCATGGTGTAGTTATTGAGACCACGGCATCAAATTTCCCTTTAGTTTGGGACTTCCAGTCTGACTCTACTCTTGCCATCAACTCTTGCCAGAATTCAGAGGTTACATGCAAGCAGAATAGTTTATACATGGTTACCTACACTCACATGTCTTTTGAACATTGAAATGTGTTATATTTAAAATATAATTAAAATAAAACCATCAGTATACCAATTCAATTTGTGTTCCCATTGGGAAAACTTGAAAAATTCAATTTTAGAGCAGGGTTTGGGGGCGGCATCTCTGTTTGTGTATTTGCAAAACTTCCACGTGTAAGCAGAACAGAAGTGTCTGCATACCTTAAAACGAGGAGTAGTAGGAACATGTCTTCTGTTTTAGACAAACTGTAAAATCCCCAAGGCCAGCTTTTTCTGGTTACGCCATTAGGACTGACAGGTTTTGTTGGTTTTAACCAATGAAACACTGTGATCTGTGCTATTCTATAACCCTTTTGCAAAATATGGAGACAGACCTGAAACTACTGAGTCTGGGTGGGGGATGTTGTGCTTCATCTGCTGGGCTGGAAGGAGCACATTTTAAAAGAATGTGAATGAAAAGCTGCTGAAGGCAGAGTCAGTGTTATCTGCAGTAAAGATACTTATTATGGAACTTTTCGCAAAAATTTTTTTAAAAGCTGTTGAGACAGTGTTGTTAGTGTTAATACTGTCTGCTATTCCCAACAAGCACTGCTCATTATGACTAACTTGTGCTGCTTGTATAATAGCTGTCTGCTCTGGGCATGGCTTCTCTGCATTAGGATTCTGTTCACTATTTGCACAAATTATTTTAAAATTAAATACCAGAATCTAGCATTTGTATTTTATTTTACTCACAGCTAGCAAGTCAAGCATGTAAAATCTTACAATTACAAGCATTATGGGAGGAATACACATCAAAGTGAGAAAAGAACTAGATAAGCCAAAAGAGTCTTGAGATTTTTATTTCTGGTACTAATGTACAGTTATCAGTATTTTCCTGCTTTGCATCTGATTACAGTAACATTGTGATCTGAGGAAAACCCTTTCACATAACAACCATAGTGCAAGGGTTCAGAGATCCCATTTGTCTCAGATTTTGCACTGTCCTACTTGCCTGTTACTCTTAGTTGTTAGTGATTTTCAGCTAAAATGAAGGTTTTAAAACAGAAGGTTAATCCTCAATCTGCCCATCACTACTGTCATAGTTTAAGCAGAGGTTTTTTGCAGGCCTCCCACAAGCTTCCCACGAAAAAGAAAAAGTCTCCATCAAACAAAAAGGAAAACCTCTTGCGAGTCGATCTTTTTAGCTACCCTTCACTGACCCCTTGGAAATAATTCACTCATAATTATAGATTGAAAACCTAGCCTCATGCAACCGCTCAGAACCGTCTTACAAGTTTAGAAAGGGAAGTAATGACTGAGATTAAATACTACCAGATTCCTGGTAACTTGCAACTGTTGATCAATTTGATGCTGCTGTTTGAAATTTTCACAGACTGAAATGCTTTCCTATACACTGGAAACGGAAGTTTTTCTGGCTAGTCTGTCACTCATAAATCCCTTTTCACATTAGAATCAACTATGTATTACTGGTTCCTTTGGAATAATGTCAAATATCTATTCAGTTTCAGAAGTAGTTAGAATTTACTCTTTCATTTCAGTGGCAGAGCAAGCAGAGTCTATTGATAATCCACTGCATGAAGCTGCCAAACGAGGTAAGTGTGTTTGGTCTTTTAGTCACGTAATGCTAAAGGGTGTTTTGCTTGTTTTCTGCTATAATAATAATAGTATATTAAGAATGAAGATGTTTTGCCTGTTTTGGTTGTCTGCTATCTTGAACAAGTTATCTGGTAACTTTTACAGCTTTGAAAAGCTGAGATACAAGCCTGGTAGAATTGCCACTCTGTGGCTGTATACACAGAAAAAGTGTAGTACCATCTATTTAACTGCATGAAGATCTAAAGGTCTTCTGGGAGTGGAAAATATCTGGTATGACTTTGGTTTAATGGATGGCATTGCTGCTGACTCACTTTTACTCTTTTTAAGTTCATGGAAAGACTGTCATTCAGAGAGAACTATGTGTCTTTAATGGTTCTGTTAAGTCTTTAAAGAAAAAGAAGATCATCAAAACTGATTTTGTCTTTCAGGCAACCTAAGCTGGTTGAGAGAGTGTTTGGATAATCGAGTTGGTGTCAATGGCTTAGACAAGGCTGGAAACACAGCTCTGTACTGGGCATGCCACGGAGGCCATAAAGGTATCAGAGAATTCATTTGAAATTACTTTGCTTTTCTCGATGTACTTTTTACACTAGTTGATAAAATTGCAGTGCTATCACAAATAACAAAACCATTTTTTTAATATTCTTTAAAAAAAAAAAAAAAAGAAGAAGAAAAATTAGAGCTAGAAGGGAAGTTCAGCTCCATCAACTGCTGTGTGTTTTGTTGCTGTTGAAGCAGGCATTCTCATCAGTGTAACTGTTAGAACCAGAGTGGGAAGAAGGACAGACCAAAAAGAAGTTTTCTATTGTTTTGCATATTCTATGCAATATCATGTTGTTTTGACTAATGGTTGTTTGCCCAGTGCAGTCCGACTTACAGATTTTCATTAGCTGATTGGATCGCTCTTTCACTGAATCTAAATTAAAATTTTTACTAAGAATGCAAAAAAGCCTGTTTTATTTCTACTAAATTTTTCTCTTTAACCCTCTCCCTGTTTTCTGCAGATATAGTAGATGTTCTGTTTTCCCAGGCAAACCTAGAGTTAAACCAACAGGTAGGTTAAACCACAGATCCTTACAGTAAGATATGTGATGTTATTCATCCTTGGTACAAGCTGAAAGGTTTTTTGCTGTATTTTAATCCTGTTGCTTTTCCCTCTAACTCCACAGAACAAATTGGGAGACACAGCTTTGCATGCTGCTGCATGGAAAGGTTATGCAGATATTGTAGAGATGCTGCTGGCAAAGGGTAAAGATCTTCACCAAGGTTTCAACAATCTATGTGGCAGACTAGATTCATGAATGTTTTTAGTTTGTATTTTTAAGTGTTTTTGTATAGCTCGTGTACGGTCCTTAGCCAGCTCACCTGCCTGACTTTATAAGTCTTGCAGAAAATTCTGACAGTGGTTTGGAAAGTTGACATCTCACCTGCTCAAGATAGATTTCGTCCTGCTTTGCAGACAAAATTAGGCACTTAACCCCTGAGCAGCAATGGCATCTGCTTGCTAGAAAGGGAGAGTAGCCAGCAAGTTCCCTAAGTAACTGTAGCTTATGGGAGAGCATCCATAGCTTCTGGTCTGCTTCAGAGCAGTTCATAGGTCAAATTCTTGTGTCCATTACTATTCTAGCCACTTTACTGAAATTCATATCAGAATGCCATTGCTTGAGAAATAGCTGGGACAGTGATTCATGATGAAAATTTTCTATTATGAAGGGGCAAGAACAGATCTGAAGAACAATGAGAAGAAACTGGCTTTAGATATGGCAACCAATGCAGCTTGTGCTTCCTTGCTTAAGAAGAAACAGAGTGCAGGTATCTCTGATTTTGTTTTGCTGATAAATTTTTTCTTTTAAGAGGACACTTAATATTTTAAACAAATATCAGTATGTTGAAAGCCATAAAAAACAGTTGGGAGATACATGGATGGAGTTGCGTTCAAAAGGGTTCACTTGAGAGGGTTAGTTTAGATTTATGATAGAAATGCGGTTTATCACATGCAGTGTTGCTGACTGCACACAATGTGCCATCCTGTGTCAGCAAGAGGCAAAAGAGTTCAGAAGTTGTGGAAATAACAAGGGAAGGAAATAGAAGACAGGTCCTTCAGATGGAAAAAGAAAAGGATAGAAATTACTTTAAAAGCAGTATACCACAAGGGACAGGGTATGAACGTAAAATAGTGTGCTGTCTTCCCCATTGTGCTTGTCTATTCCTCCAGACTTATGCCAAACCAACACCAACAGATGCTCTTATTTTATTTTCTACTGCTAATTTTTTAAAAATTTCTTATTCCTGTATCTTTCTGAATGATTGTCTAATAGAAAAATGAAGAAAGTCTGATTTCAGATAGTTATCAAAATAGTCTCACTGCCTCCCACTCTGTTCATTTCTCTTAATAACACAGTGCCATGTCCACAAGAGTTAAAAAGACGCAAGCTGAACAAAGACCGAATTGTCCAGTATTGTGTAACTAATACTCCCTGTAGTTTTCAGGGGGCTGAAGTTAGGGTGGAAACCGTAGGTGAAATGGGAAATTACTTAAAAATAGAGGCAGAGTTAAAGCTGGTTTTGTTGGGATATGCAGTTTAGCAACTGTATTGTCATAGGGCAAGTGAGAACAGAGGAAATGCTAACCTGTGGGAGCTTAGTGGTTATGGGAATTAAATAGTGGAGTAGCTGACTTCAGCTTTAGATGCCAAGAGGAGCAGTTGCAGCAAAAGTAATAATAATAATGGCCAGTCTTCGCGAGCGAAGATCCGGGGAAGGTCTTTACACCTTCCAGCCTGCGCATTGGATTTTTTAGGTGAGACACAGTGTGCGCGGAACTGAGCCCACCCTTTAATCCTAAGGTTCATCTGCCGGGGCCAAGCGAGCTTGGACAGTGGCAGCGAGGTCCTTAGGACGTAGGTGGGTTGCCTTTAAGGGCTAACGAGCCCCACCTGCCCGGGAGTGGCCCTGACCGGGAATCGAACCCGGGTCTCCGCGGTGATAGCGCGGCGCCTTTACCACTAGACCACCAGGGGCTCATATAAATATATATATATATATATATATATTATATCTAATATATATATAATATATATAATAATATATATATTATATAATAATATATATATAATAATAATATATATATAATAATAATATATATATATATGTGCAGCAAAAGTATTATCCAGGTAATGTCAGGAATTCCCAGCAAACTTTTGACAAGTTGTTTCTCTCAATTTTGACTCTGAAGAAAGCACTTGTAACAAAGGGCAGAACTCCTTCTGTTTTTACGGGTTTTTTTAAAGGTAGTTAATCCTTGTTAGGAGCACTTACTTCATCTTTGCATGTTGATTGTAGGCACCTGGTACAGGTGTATGCTCTGTTCTGATGTCCCTAATAATTATATGAATGTTTCATTTCCTAATACTAAGTACTAATCTTCTACTTTGTTACTGCCTCTAAATTAATTTAGTTTCATGGCTGGCTGATTTTTCATCCTTAGTCACTTAGTCTGTCACCAGTCTCTGGTACCCTCACATCCTGTCTTTTCTTGCTTGCCTGAGCTGATATTCTCAGTCTAACTGCTGTTTTAGTATTAGCTTCCATGTTTGCGTTTTTACCTTAATTTGGCCTTGTAAATATCTCTGACACTGCTGATCTGTATACTTTTCTTGGATTTTGTATTTTCATGGCTGTTTTCAGTATTCTGTAGTAGTCTTTCTGTTAGTATTCGGTATTCCTGGTAGTCTTCAGTAGTCTTCCTGTCCTCAGTTCCAAATCTGTTCCTATTTAGATACAACTTCTGTCATAGTCTATTTATAAAACTTTTTTTGTTGGAGGAAGCTTGCATTGCCTGCACTTAAATGTTCAGTTTGGTTTCACATGTACATGCACACATTCAAATGTCATAATTGCTGAAATATAGTCTAAAACATTAAAATCATATCATAGCAATGCAAAAAGATTGTGTTATTTGTGCTTCTGAACAAGGGAACAACTATTACACAGAAGAAATGGAATTAATTTTTCTCAAGATATGGCCCCTTTAGCACAGAGCTCTACAATTTCTCTTCTTCCCTCCCCATTCTTCCTTTGCTGCTTCTCCTACTCAAAAAGAAAACAAATTTTTTTTTCAGTTAGATTTCTTTTCTAAAACAATTAAGCAAGTCAGTTTTAAAGGTATCCTGGATTTCTGGAATAAGAAAGAGTAACATGGTTATCAATTCTGTGAATTATGTCAGGCTACACCTGGTTTTTTTAATACTTTGTTTTAAGATGTTATTACAAAGCTTCAGCTGACTAGAATCTTGCGATGTATAATGCAATATATCTATTATCTATAATCCCTATTCCTATATATTTGAAAATCTGTAGGGAAATAATCATCTATCACAAAAAGCCTGTGCTATTTATCTTGGTACAGTCTCAAAGATAGATGTAGTTCTCCAGGTACTGCTGCACATCTGGTAAATATACTTTAATACTCCTGTATTCTGCTTACTATCCTTCAAAGACAAAGGCTTGTAAGTATATCTAACAAATAATTAGTCAGGAAAAAACTTAATGAAAAGGAGGGAATGGGAAAAATAAATGGAATGTGTTTGATTTTAAGCAGAGAATGGCAGTCAGCTAGGCACTATCCCCACTTGATGAGGATAAAACCATGGAAGCTCTTCCACCAGCTCAGCAGTCCTTTCCTTTGTGATTTAGAAGTAATATATGCAGAAAATAGATTAAAGAGTTCAAGCTCTGGTGTACAGGTTCCAGAGAGCCAGAACATGGCTCTTGAAGGTCAAAGACTAAATCTTCTAGGTAGGAGGTGTGATTACTGGTTTAGCTCTGCATTTGAGATCCAGAGCTACATCCTCATCCGTGTAGCCCTAACACTCTAAATGATAGAGGAGTCAGGTTTGTTCAGTCCTGGTTTGTAAGCATTGCAAATGTGAGTCATTTTCTGATTTTATCCCAGATTAAGGGACATTTTTGTTTCTTTCCAGATACAGTCCGAACTCTGAGTAATGCCGAGGAATACCTTGATGATGAAGACTCCGATTAACTTTTTTTATTCAGCATCAAGAACTATAACTTGCGTTGCCTGTATCAGTCTCAAAACATATCTTTGCAACTGTTAAAATATCTTATTTTGAGTATTGCAGTCTTCCAGTATAGCATATAAATGAGTGGGTGAAATCATGCTTTCCAAAGGAATAATCTTTCCCTAGGCCAGAAGATGTCACGTTTTGAATCAGAGTTCCTTTGGAAGTATCCCACATAGGAAGTGTGGCATACTGTTACTGTTGAATGGGCAGAACAGCATCTTCTAAACTCACATGCTTCATCTCAGGCCTTCCCAGCAAGTGCCTTACATCTCTGGAACGTGTTTCTCAAACTGAAAGGTCCTTCTGGGACAGCAAGACACCACTGCTAACATTTTCCAAAATCTCCATGGGCATATGTTCCTTTGTGCAGCTAATACTGACAGAGTCAGTACTGGCTGACAAGCATAAATGGGAATGCTGCTATAGGGAGGGACCATTATTTACCCACATGGAGCCAGCATGACAAAGTTTGATTTTTATTTTTGGTAAATTTTTTTCCCTTCCTTCCTCTACCCCTCTAAGGTACAAAATGACCTAGGATGACCTGCCCCAGGATGCTTTGTTCTCTCTATTGCTCTGGGCCCAATCCCTGAAACGTTAACTCAGGTGAAATGCTTGCTTAAGTCAGGTTTGCTTGAGAAATATACTTAATTCTGAACTTGGTGGCTTGGTTATTTTCCTTTTTGAAGTGCATTATGCTGAAACTATTTGTAGTGAAAGGAAGACAAAATATTTTCCTATTTATCCTGCCTAAAATTTTTTATACTGGTCTCTTTCTTTTACTTTGTAAAAGTGCTCTTATATTTTGTCCTAAATTACCTCAAAGTTGAAGTGTGTTTGAAAGAATGAGGGAAGATGTATATCAAATATACTGCAGGTATTTAGAAGAGATACCTTAAGCTGAATAAACGTTTTTAAAATGTATGGCTTCTTCCTGTGAACTAAAGAGAACTAAAACATTATTGAGCCCCTTTCGAGCTTCCCTGCAGAGCTAAAAGACAGTACTTTCTTTAGATCACTCAAATAGCTGCAGACAAATATTGTACCTTACTGAGGGATACTTTCTCACTGTGATGATAAGAAAATGTTACCAGTATTTGAGATAAAATCTCATATCAGTTTTTGTTGCAAACTTCCCTAGTAGGGGCTTCTAACAAATTCATTTGAACACAGCAGTTTGCCATACCAAAAAAAAAGGGAAAAAAAAAAAAAGAAAAGAAAAAAACAAGCTCTTGCGAAAGATTGGGGATAAGTGAAAAGCTCTTGTGAAAGACTGGGGATAAACAAAAAGCTCTTGAGAAAGTCTGGGGATAAATAAAACTCACACTAAGTATTTTAGAGATTAAAAGAAGTCTAGAGCACTCCTAATTTCCCACTTTTAAAAATATATTCAACTCAATTTTTTATTTTTATCACTCTGGAAAGAACTAAATACAGGTAACACTTGCTAAGCATTTGTCAAAGAAGGCAGTGCTTGATTCAACAGAACAATGTAAGATGGAGACATTACACCAATAGTCATCTGCAGATATAGTTGAAAACTGTTTAAATGTTAAAACTAAACCAAATGTTTTAACCGTATGGAATATTGTGGCTACATGAACAGTGATGTTCTATTTTGTATATGAGCTTGAATATCCTGGAGGAGAAGAAATAAAAACCAAAGCCACCAGTTTTTTCTCTCTAGCTTTCATTAGGACAGTTGTTGAACGTAACTGTTAACAGACAGAGACTGTTCTGCTTCACATTTAATCAGCCAGCTATTCTACTAGCCCAGCTTTTTACTGTAGTCAAGCCACATGTTATGATGCATGCTGTTGATTAAAATGATACAATTTCAAAGTGCAAGTTTGAAAGGTCCTGTAATGAGAGGCAAGAAGGTTCTTGAGTCTTTTTCCTGCATAAATGAAGCTCACAAGGTTAAAATTCTCCAGTGTCACAGGACGTGGAGAGAATGGCTCTTCCCAAGTCACTGTTTTTGTTGAGTTTTGGAGGCAGAGTTTGTATTCTTAACTCTTAATGTAATGTCTTATGCTGCCATGGGTTCAACATCCTACAAGGAAAACATTATGCTCCTGTCTCTGGAATTAACAGCTGCCAGAAGACCTTATGTTCTGCAGATGCTACAAAAGAAGAATGGTGACAGAAGCACAAGTTGAGCACAAGGATTGCATTCTGAAGTTCTTACTGAAAGAAGCACATTTACATCGCAAGACAGCTAGCAAGTGCTGTGATTTGTTTCTAAGACCAAAATTATCGCTTTTGGGTTTTTTTCCACAACTTTGTTTTTCTTCATGAGACTGTCTACTTATCTTGTGAAATACAGATCACTGTGAAAGTTTTCAGGCAATAAATTACTTTTTGCCTAACTCCAGTGGTTTAAGTTTTGATGTTAAAAACAAAACACAACCCCAACTGAAAGTCCTACAACTAGAAGGAGTTACAGCTGGAGTAAGCTGATACATTTCTTACTAGTCTTACTAGTTATGCAAACCTACTTAGTCTCTCTACTTTTCTTCAATCTGTGTGCCACTGCAGGCTCATGGATAAATTTAAGACTTTCTTCCAAGGACAGCTGCATTTGGTATTGTAACAATAAGAAAGATATTTTTTTTTTAGGAGCAGCAAAGTGAAAGTTTTCAAGCTCATGGTGTCTCCTAACTGAACATTGAAGGATATTATGTCTTGTGTACCTCTTGTTGAACTAACTTGTGCCTTTCTTTTGAAAATAGCTGTGCTCCAGGTATAAATTTTGTGCTGTTAGGGGGTAATTCAATTGATTGAAAGTTTTTTCAAACTGAACTAGTAAATCTTCTGTTGGCTTAATCAAAAAATGCAAGTGTTTAATCCCTTTTTTCTAGGAGAAAAATGGGACTTTTTTTGAACTGACTTAGACTCTGGATAATTTTCAAGTTAGTATGCTGTTTTACTAAGACAAACCCCACCTTACTGAATTCCGCTCTTACATGTGCCATCACCTCTAATGTTATTTGCTTAAAACAGTTAAGGTCACACAAAAAGGTTAAACTGAGTAGCCTGTTTCTAGCAAAGTCTTCAGCTTAGAACTCTTGAGCCCTTATTTCTGAAGACATTGTCATATTTCTTGTGTTTGAGTTTTATGTCAAGGACTGAAGATTGGTGAAAGCCTGACGTAATTTCAGTTATATATAGGGTCAGGTGTTTGATGCAGCATACATCACAGAATTAAAAATTTGTTTTTAGCCATTGCCACCTGCCAACGAATCCTTTGAAATGTACCACTGAGCAGAATAACAATGGGCCATCAGTCTGCTGCTTTATGAGGCAGATAAAAACTGAAGTGTACCAGAGCAATGTTAAGCAACTGTACTTTGATCGTATCAGGAAACAAAAAAAAAGCAGATACGGTTTTCAAGAACTTGAAACAGAATTCTTCAAAAGAAATTAATTTGTTATCAAATCAATTTCATACAAAATCAGTATCCTCATTTGCAAAATAGAAGAAAAGGTGTGAGCTGGTTGTTTGGTTGTGTTTTTTTAAAGCTATACAATAAAAAAAGAGGAAAACAGAAGCTAAAAAGATGACAATAATACAGAAGCAATTCAGCAGAAAATGTGACTCTACATAAAATCACAAGTTCTGGGACAGAACTTGGACTGATGGTAGTGTCTGTGTCAGGGAAAAAACTACCAGGTACTTATTTACCTGATGCCTGCTGTTTCCCAGCTGATAGTTGATGCTGGAGATGTTGCGTGAAGTCTGCAACTTTCCAGGGAAAGTTGCATCACTACTTCCTCCTTCTATGAAGCTTAGCAGTCTTCCTTTGGGCTCTGTAGAGCAGGTCTATAGCACACCAGAGGAAGAGGCATTTCTATGACAGTCTTAAACTGACCTATGAGCAATGTCACTGTGAAAAAAGAGTGTTGTGTTGCAACGTTCACCTTCCCAGTTACAGAAGCAGTATTGTCTCCTGTGGTGGTGAGCAGCTAAGATCAGAGACTCGAGGAACCTCTTGCAGACATAATGGTAATTTAGGTGAGCATTTTTTAATTAATGTGGAAAAGCACAGATCTTGGCAGCTGTTTCACATGTGTAAGGTGTTAAGTTTATGCTACCAGGAAAGAATCCGTAAGTTACACTGTTGCCTCAAGAATTACACCTTTCACCACAATTCTGAAGCTCAGAGTAAGTCTATCACTGCTCCTCTGTCCGGTGGGAGATTTTTCTTTCAGATATGGATTATTTGGAACATAAAAATCTATATTCCTTCTTCCTCTTCTATCCAAGACTGACTCCTAACTTTAAAGAACTTTAGTGAGATTTAATATAAAACAGGTATGAAGACATAAAGAGCCACGAGCAAGTTGGACATTTGAAAGTTTCTTATAGTCGTGTTTCCAATTTGAATCCTGAAGCAAGTCTCTGGAATCCAGTGAAGATAAATGGGAAATGGAGGACCTCTGTTTTTAAGCTCAGCACAAACCTGTATTTGTTTACTTGATTTGTGTTGCTTAATATACTATATTTTTGTTCACAGCTGTACTGCAGTCACACCTCCAATTGACTTCATTTCTACGAGGACATACTGAAATTAATACTTAATCATCTTCAGATATGCTCAACATAAAATTAGAATTAAATCCTCAAAATTTATATCCAATGTGTATGTGTCTTTCCTGTTGAGTCTTGTATAACACAAGTAGTTTCACAGTATAGTAACTTACTTAGACATTTTTAATAAAAGGCCTAAATTTTATCTTCTCATAAAATTTCCCTAATGCAGATAAAGTTATGGTGCATTTCATGTAATCTATCAATGTTTACTTCTTTTTATGCTTTTTCCTGAGATTTCTGTTCAAGCCTAGAAAATTCCAACTGCCTAGGTATGAATTTAAAACAAAAGAGGGATCAAGAAATAAGAATATATCTGGTCTACATGCACTTACCCTGAAAGCAAGAGCAGTAAACATGCTGTTAATAAAAAAGTTGTGTGAGAGGTAGGTTGAGTAGCAGGCACTGTACTTAAGAGAAACTTAAACTGATTGAGCTAGCATTTACTTTGGCTTTAACAACTCCCATCTAATCAGAAAAGGTGGCCATCTAATCAGAAAAGGTGGCCAATTCAGTTACAGTTCAATGAGTACTTTTCTAAAATATAGTTTCCACATGGAGATAGAGCAGTGGAAAGTCATGGAATAACACAAATGTGACCAAATTTCATCCTGCTAAAAGATTGTAGAGTGCTCCCTTGTCAGACAAGGGTAATTCAAAAGCTTGGATCACTTCAGAGGCTGAACGACTGCAGATATTTTCTCATAGAAAGGTGTCTGAAGGTGAACAGCTTATGTAGGCTTCTTACAACTAGTGCTGGAAATGTTTGAATTATTTCAGTAGGTGTGACAAGATCGTTCAAGTTAATTGAGTTTGAAATGAAAAGCCATTATTACACAGGAGAAAACAGGTTGAAAGGGTCTGGTGATGCTTGTATTTGACTAGGAGTCATTTCCATTCAGTTTTAACCAAAGCAGACTGTTCCAGACACAGCTTCTGTAGTTTTCTAACCACTTAGAGATTCCAGTTTTACTCATTTTTGGGAAACTCCATTTCAGTGGTATATTGCCATTTTAAGGGCTGTTAACTGTTAGCTGAGCTTTGACTTCGCACTTTTCCTGGTTACACCAGTAACCTGCTCTTAAACCCGTGTCTGCAGCCTATAAGCTATTGTTCTTTAATTTCTGTATTTAAAAATTTTAAATGAAATCTAGTACTCTTGTGCTGGGCTTAGTTTTCCATTTATTCAAACTGATGGCTGACTGAAGTGCACTGTAGCCATATCCTTACTGTTAAAAAGTATCTTGAAATTTAAAGAAAGGGGAAAAAATAAATTAAAACCAAGTTTAGTGCATATACATTATATATCTAATAATATTCTTGAGCTATGGGTTTGTGAAAACTTGTGACAGATGCAAAAGGTAGGAGTGCAATATGGAATCTCTTTGCATATACAGTAGAAAGACCAAGCATTGAAGTACCTACACACCAATATTATTTTTATGTAAATGCATACAGATAGCCTGAAATTTCTCTTACCAGATTGTGTAGCAAAAGAGTGCACATACCTATGGATTGATTTGTGGCTTTTTAAAAATTAAATTACCGTTTGTCTAAACTCAGTTTGTAGTTTCCAGGATACATTTGCTTTGGAATCAGAAGCAGTAATTTCAATCTCATATGAAAGAATTAAAATATATTTTTTGTGGTTTTACAAACCTGTAACTTAATGCTTGGACAAGCTGAAAAAAACAATTTGCTTAATACTTCATGTATTAAGACACAAGTTTAAAAATTCTGATTTTTAAGAACTGCTAAGCATGGATTGAGTCTAACCTACTTCCTACTTGTGTGAAAAGACAATTTGATCCAAACTATAATATGTTAATGTATTAGTGACTTTTGTTCCTATATGTCAGAGCTTTTTTATTTAATAATTTTAATGTATTTTAAGTAAAGTTATGTAAACTACTGATTTCTTGCATACTGTGCTCTGAAAACTGGTCTTATATCTGTCTTGGTCCACCTAACTGCATCACTTTATCAAGTGGACTTTGTTAATGAGCTAAGTGGTTCTCCTATTTGGATTTAAAGAACAAAGCTGAGTTCTTTTGCTTTCCATATCAATTCTGCAGGCCTCATTACGTCCTCTATGCAATTCTGTTTTCTCTGTTGACCAGACCCTGATCACTATAGTGTACAAACAAACCTGTTGTGTGTGTGCGTGGTGGCCACACAGACAGGCTTTGCCAAATGCTACTGGATTCAAGGAAACTGAAGCTAAAAAACTGTGCCCAGTCTCTCAATTTCTAGTTAAAGAACGCACCATAAGATAACATCAAAATTACTTGCTTGCTATAAAATGAGTGAATTTCTTCATGTGGATTTTTCATAGCTTCTAATATAAAAATATATACATCCCAGAGAACAAAGCCTAATTTGTAGAACAGTGACTGGTTCTCCTAATAAAAATATATGTAAAATTTTCCTGTATTGAGGAGTTTATTAAACATAATCACCTCAGTTTACATCAATGTTTACTCTGTGATTGCAGTAAAACTTGTTGATTTTGATAAAAAAAAAAAATCCAGGCGCTTTGCAAAAATCTCTTAAACAATCCTTTAGTAGTTTACTTTTATTTCACTAGATAGGCAAATATTTCTTTGACTAGTTGAGTGGTATTCTTGTGATTTAAACTTGCACTGGATGCAGAGCAGGAGGTGTTACTAAGTGCATTACCAATAACAAGACTTCCAGACGCAAAGCAGAAGTCCAGACGTGATCTGTTTTTGAAACAGCTTTTTTTTTTTCCTAAAGTATATAAGGTTATATATAAAT